AGAGAAATAACAATTTTTGAAAATATTTTCTGGGCATTTGCTATTTCATAATAACAAAAAAGTTTTGTGCTCCTTAACCACATTTCTCATTTTTCTTGATTAAAAACCAGCAAAAATAGTGAACTTTGGTGATGTAATCAACAACTTTTTTTTCAGACTTGTAATGGGGTTTTCTAGTCGACATGTATAACTGTAGCAGATGATTGGCAAACGTGAGCTGAGAGTCAGCTCATTTAATTAAGCAAGCAAACACACTATTGAAGTGGTCTGCCAACACAAGTTCCAAGTAAACAAATGATACAATTTTTCCAGCTTGTGTTTTCATTTGTCCCATCACAAACAACACTTTGTAAAATCACAAGAGAATTTCTGTCATTTAAAACTAAAATGATTTCCTTTGCAACATTAACTGCTTACTACTTTGTGGACAAATGTGATTAATGTAGACGCTGTTGTGCTATGAGCACAACATAACTATATAACATAACTATCTTTTTTGATAAAAGTCTTGTTGCAATAATCCTACGGTTTTTTCTAAACAGCTATCCAAGCAGATTCTAATAATTTCTGTGGCTAAATCTGCATGTTCTTTTACATCTTTTTGTTAATGACAGGTTTTTTTTTCTTTTAATTTTGCTAGATTCAATATGTATTTTGGTGAATGAATTTTTTTTGTTTTCATCAATGATCTACCTGAATATCTAATGTTATTTGAATATCATTATTTGCATATGACACAACATTTACGACAAAGTGATACTAATTTAAACCATCTAATATCAAAGACTCAGTCAGTATTTAACAAATTTACTCAGTGGTAATAAACTTAAAATCAATTTGGATAAAACTAAAGTAATGATCTTAACAAATATGCACAGAATAAAAATAATATTGCCAATTTCAATCATATTAGGTAATAAGTTCAAAGTTTAATTAGTTAATAAATTTTCTTGTTATTAACAGCAAATTACATTTTACCAAACACATAAAAAAGATTCAAACAAAAACATATAAAAAATTATTCTCAATAACAAATATATTTGATCTAGCTTTTGAGGTTTGTTTACAATTCTTAAAAACATTCATACTACCCAAGTTTGATTACTGCTTAAGTCTAATAATTTACTACACTAAAAAAGAAATACAAAGCCTTAGCAAAACTACATGATTTTATTTTTACTACTCAATATTAATATTTAAAACAAAGATTTATTTCAAATCAGTCAACAACTTGAAGCATACAACCTACAAAGAATGAGGTTTTTTTTATGAATTTATTAAATTATTATTTTCATAAAGTTTCATTTTCAGATTATGTATGTGCATAGAATAAATCATAAGAATATATATATCAAATAATATAAATTTAGTCAAAATGTACCATGTTGTATTGAAACTATTTTATTCCATAAATAATTTAATCTTTTATGGAATGATATACTTTATTTAATATTATAAAATTATAAATTATAAAATTATCAAATTTTAGAAATCTTTTTTGCTATATTGTTATTTTTTTGCTATAAATATATAAGCAAGAGTGAAAAAATTTCAAAACTTATTACGCTGAGGGGAGGTCTTAAACCCTCCAAATCAACACTGATGACAGCGCACTTAATCACTGAGCTATCAATGAAATGAATTTAGCAGATAAACAAACCTAATTATAAGTATCTTATAAGCTCTACATATGCGGAAAAGGTGCGCATGTTTAGTTTTTTGCTCTTAAATTTTTTTTCAGAATAAATTATTTTACTAAAAAATATTGAAGTAAATAAGGAATAGGTATAGAAACTTTCGGCTAGAAATAGATATGTAAATTGGTAAAGACCTGTATTTTACGGATCCGGAAAGCTAGAATATATAAGGAAAAAGTATAGAAAAGTTCGGTTTGGAATAGATATACAAAGACCCGATTTTTTACGGGGTCGTTCTTAGCTTTTTCATGTCATTATTTAATTTAATTTTGTTTCATTTTAGACATCTTAAAATGCTTTTTTAGCATTTTGCAGGACGAATAGAGGGCCCACATTCCCCACATGGTGTGGGTTCAAATTTAGGGTAAAAGCATCCCCCACCTTTTATATATATATATATATATATATATATATATATATATATATATATATATATATATATATATATATATATATATATATATATATATATATATATATACATATGTTAAGGAGGAGAGTGAGTAGTAGATACAAAAAACGCTGGGTCTATAATTAGTTTTTACTTAGTTAATTATTCTACCAATTAAACCAAATAATGGTTAATCTACCAATCCCCAATCTTTTATTGATAATGCAAATTTAGTTGAATTTTTTTCGTAAACATACATTTCTTTATATATTTTATATAATTATAACATAATCAAAAAAATTCTAATTTTATATTTAAATGAAACCATTTTATTTAACTGATTACTTTTAAAAATAATTAAAAGTTAAGGTTTAACTTTTATATTTAATATTGATATAATAAGGAAATTATA